TGAGAGATAAAAAAAAGTGACAATGAGCATCTTCAAATATTTACTGGGTTCGAAATAGGGTTACAAATTAGTTCCAGGAAATAGGATCTAGAGTTAAGGATTTCACTATGAATTGACACTAGTTATAATATTAGAGTTCTATTTATCCATATGGATAAATGAGTATCGTGCAAGAATTCGACAGTTACTCATCTAAATCTGATTGGTTCGATCATAAACTGTAGTTGTGTTAAAAACAAAACCACAAACAGCCCATAAAAGATCTCCTCCTACTAACGAGGCGAATAGTTTTATTATCACGATTTAACCAGTAGTCTCATACTAGAACGAAAAGGCCGTACAGTGCTTCCAGGTCATCCATGATGGCCTAACATTGATGGATTCATGTTTTTCAATGTTATTCAGATATGTTTGGATAAAGTTCAACTTATGTACTCAGCTCTCAACTAAACTAGCCAACAATGTATATTGTTCAATGACTGAGGTTAAACTGAAATTTATTAAGATGTTTTACACATCATTAGAAACTCTCAATGGTATGAAAATTATGAGTGAGATTTTTTAATATCAACAATAACCTGTAATTGAAGAAATTGTGCAAATATTTGACTGATATTCATAATTTCCTTATAACATTTTCTGTGATATAAATTTCGATATAGTCATTATTGTGTCAAAACTGTAGGTTACTACTGACGTTTTTATAAGTAGTTAAGAAAACGTTTAGCAAATGTTTACCATGCTATATCAAACTATATTAAAAATCTAACTACGCGATTAAAACTACTGATAAATCCAGAATAAAAATACGTACCAATTCGAAAAATGGACCCGAAAAACTAAAATGATTTGTTAGTATTGCCCCTAGTATGAATCGTACTCTGGAATAGGCTTCTCTAGGGATTTTCGTGCATATATATCACTTGTTCCAAGTGGTACTTTGGACTATTTGAATGGAAAAAAAAGAAAAACAACGATTGGTTGAACTAACTAACTAACTAACTAACTAACTATTCTATGAGTTAATAATAATATGAATAAATTGATAAAAAGTTCCTTATGACACTAACTGATTGATTTATTATTAGTGTTATAATAAATTAACTGATTGTCCAGATGTTTCCAGATGTTGAAGTCTATTGGTAAGGCCGATTGGCCTATCTGGATATTTTGGTTTTTATTTGCTCAGTAGCACAACTAATGCGGTGGAATATTAATTTTCATGCAACACCGACAACATCTGGAGACATTCTTCTACCAGTTTACGCTGTATACATTACCAGATATACACAAGTCCAGTACCCAGAAATTCCATAGTATACACATAGGTATAAATGCTGTGTACCCAGGTACCGTTGGTGAATACCGTAAGCGAAGACGTTTTATTCCGTGTTTCGATAGGAGAATTGGGCTACAGTGATCCAGTCAACCGCATCATTTGTTGTAACATGTCCTTTAAGTGACCCTGGAACTGTTTCATAAAGATGTTGTTGTTGTTTCCGACCGCTATCAACTTTATTCTTAGCTGAAGATCCCGTCTTCAACTCTCAGCCAATAATATTGACGTATCAGTTCACCTAAATATATTGTTAATAGGTAAGAGAAATGAGTTAAAATGTCTAGTATTTAATTTCCATTAATACCTTAGTTATTAGTCGAATATTTTAATGCCTGAAGAGAGGTAAAAATGTTAATTGAAAGACCATTAATTTCTATCATAAAACATAAAGGGTTCGAATCCCACATGAGTTTGGAGTTAGGCAAATAAATGTATTTCTTAAAAATAAAATGTAACTATCTAATGCTTTCCAAAAAGTCTAAAGAAGGCTCAATAGTATAAAATATCAAAACTTTGTGTCAATATATCAGCGATAAACAGTTTGTGTTAAATTACTGTTATAACGCTCGGTATTACTTCGTCTAATGTTATAGCGCTTAAACGATTATCTACACTAGATCCCTTTCAGTGTCTATTCTACAGGACTTCAACATAACTCAGATCAAGAACACGAAATTCGCTTGATCACAACGTGAATATATTTTCACACACAAAACCGACACAATCCACAACAATGAACAATCAATAATAAGTGTGTGCGTGTCACAATAATAAGGATAAGGGAATATATAACTTATCTGACACCTGTCTGAATGTCTACATGTCTGACTAAGCAGACAACCAATCATGATCATTCTCGCCCACACATCAATTACAAATTTTGGCACAGTGGCCAGTTAAATGAAAGCGATCATTGAACTGTTTTAAAGATTTAATTTCCATCTTATTTTGGACTGATCAGCTGAATACATTCTAAGATTCAGGTACATTCAGCTGACGAGTCCTGAATAGAGTGAATTGCACACCCTGAATTCCACCGCTAGGAAAATTCCATCTATTCTATATAAACATGTAACCTATAGATGTTATCTGAAAAGATAGTCACAATACTTTGAGAATAATTACTGTTTATAATTGGTTCCAGTTGAATCTACTGAAACTATCTAGCTAAAAGTATGTTCTAGTAGCAAAACTAACCTCTTAATTGTACATAATGAAGGATAACTACCCTTACTGTGAAAGTTAACAAACCAGCTGCCAAATAAAGAGGAAATTAAGGACTGACGATTAAGGTGAATAACACATACATTATGGAAATTATCGAACTACATCACGAGACATGCGCTAGTTTGAAATCCTCGAAGTTTAGTGAAAAGAAGCAGACCAAAGAACACATTGTGCCGTAAACTGAAAACAGATATTAAAAGAATGAATAGCAAATGGAACCAACTGGAAATGATTTTCCAGAACAGAGTTCGATGGCCTATACTCCTCGATGAGGGGTAACAGAAGTAAGTAAGTAATACCTGACAGATTAATCGACTCCAGAATGTAATCAGTGATTTATCAGTATCAGTGTGACAGTTATTCATGGTTAAACTGAATTGTTAATAATTCAATTTGTTTGAAATAATAGAACTATTCATTTTATTACATATGATTAACTGCTATTAATTATTATAACTGTTAAAGCTTACGAATATACAATTTCATTTCTTCTTTACCGTATCAATAACCAGAAGATTTAGAAGACTCTCGATATTCCTAAGAGTTTAAATTATTCCGAATAGTATTCTTACTATCCTATAATCTCTGTATAGCTACTAATTGAAACAATAACTTAGAACCCCTATTCCCTGATGGAATAATGACAGTATTCAATTGATCAACTGACGAGAGAAATTTTGACAGAGAGTATTTTTAAGAAACCATTCATTGATCAAGCTTTCTAGCTTAATCTAGTTTCTCCAAGACTTTAAATTTCGAATCCATTATGATGAGGTATGTACATCAAGCGTAAAGTGTTAACTGATTTGAATCTTTCTGTTAATCTTACTGATTAAAATCAATTTCTTCAAACACATGTGTATCCTGTGTGAGCTGCCTTAATACTGACATTAAGTCTTTAGCGTTTCAATCATAATTGGATGATGGTTAGCAGTGTATATAAATGTGCAGTGCAAACAACAACACTTAGGTTCAAATACACTCATCTGACAAGTGCTAATTAGGATGAACCACACATCCTATATTTCACTGCTAGTTACCATCCAACTCTACTTTAGAAGACAACGTTTTACTATTAAAAGTGAATTTCAATTTCAAACTATTAGTATTGGCTTCTTATGGCATATAGTTCTAATTTTGACTAAATTAAAACGTTAATTATGAATAGAAAAGAGGTGGTGCTATATTAAAAGATGTGTAGTAATTGGAGTGATATAGTGAATTTATTTACCAACAAACCCAAAGTAAGTCTAATCTATTTATGATAAAATTCAGGCTTTTTTATTTGTATATTCCCCCTTTTTTTTTCTACGTTGACGTTTATTAACTCCTTTCATGAACGACCTTTGAACGATGCTAAAGTGACCTTGATGATATCGACATACTAACTAGGACTAAAGCTATAAGCCAATGTGAGTAAATAAACGGTTAGACGATTAGGGTTAAAAATTAGATTTACGGTTGTTGTTTTTTTTATCACGAACTGACATTAGCTAAAATAACAAAACGTTATTTAACCAAATGGATGAATGAATTTCATACTAAAACATAAGAGCTGTTATCTTGAATTTGATTAGTTCATTCATAAATTATAGCCTCATATAAAAAAAACCATTATGTCTTGATTACCAGTAAAGGGGTTGTGGAGATCATTAAGTTTTTGATTGAGATCAAGAACCGATTGATGTTAGATCACTGTTGGAAACCTGGAAGCACTGGACAGCCGTTTTGTTTTATTGTGGGACTCCTCGGCAGTGCTCATCCACGATCCCGATCGCGGGATTCAAACCCAGTGCCTTCAGTCTCGCGCGCGAACGCTTAAACTACTGAACCACTGAGCTGGCCAGCATCCAATGGTATTAGTGTTTAACATCAACTAATCCACGAAATTGCGCAACCATCTTTCATTGTACTGAGGTAGATACCTGTCTCTACCCGACATGTATTAGCTCCACTGGTCACGGCGAGACTGAAGGCCCTGGGTTCGAATCCCGCAGGCGAGGTCGCGGATGCGCCCTGCCGAGGAGTCCCACAATAGAACGAAACGGCCGTCCAGGTTTCCAACAGTGATCTAATACCAATCGGTTCATGATCTCAACCAAAAACTTAATATGTCTTAAAACGACGACTCAATGTTACCAGAAATACAACTCGAATCATCTTGATAATAATTATAATGAATTCAACTTATCTCTCTTATGAACAATAGTATTCAACTAATAGACATTATGCATTATGACAGATAGATAAATTTTCAGACAAGTTTTTCAAAGTTTTTCACAATCTCATATTAAGATACATGCAGTAACATGGTAATTGTATACTCATTACATTACTGTAAAATGTTATTCCATATATATAACTATTTAAAAGAAAAAAGTACCATGATGAAAGTACATATTATGTATATGTATTCATATTATATTTAACTTACTGGACCAGAGTATTTCCAAGCATGTTCTTTTGATAAATTAGATTTACGTGAAGCGCCTATCTCATTAGAATTTCTTGGTACCCTAATATCTTGACGTTCAAGCTAAAATAAAGTTATAATAATAGATATTTGTTATATCCTGACGAGAATATTGAATAGTAATTGTTAGGATCTATTTATGAACCAATACGATACGTATATTTTTATTGTATAATTGTTAAATGACTAAACTATTCATATTTGTTCACTTGGCATTGTTTTACTTGTATCTTCTCATTGTTATTTAGGACTTTAATAGATTAGTCTCATTTTGGCATATGTGTAACGTGTGCGGATTGCCTCGATAGAGTTTTTAAGTCACAAGCTTTTTAAGCAAAAACGGATAGAACGCGATGGCGTTTGAAGCGAACAGTACTGGGTTCGGGTCCAAGAGTGAATATCAACTCTGAGATGCAGGTACATCTAGCTGACGAGTCCCAAATAGGACGAAACGCTCGTCAAACTGGATTCCACTGCTGGCCATTATCCATCTTTGCTTTAAAAGCTTATCCATGTTCATGTTCCACTTATCATAAACTTTATTTTGATTTATGAACTATTATTATACGATTTACCATTCTTGAGTTATGCCCAGTCTATTAATTACAGTCTCCCATATTCACAGTCACTTTTGGCTATATCCTGTACAAATGTCATTTTCTATTTTATGGTAAGATGTAATCAGTTTGGTTTGTATATGTTTGAAATACATGATTCATACCACAGAGACTGAGATTGGTGTTCTGGACTTTACGGGTAGGCCTAAGCAAGAAGCAGAACCGATAAGGACTCTAGACTGCTCGTGCAGGTTTATGCATCGGTTGATAATTCACTGTTCGTTATTTTTGATGCTGTTAGGTGAAATAACAAAGTTATATGCAGTATAGTACGGAAAAAAAAGTTCTTAAAAAGTCAAAAACGAAAGTTAATGTTAACGTCTTATTGAGTTATCATATACGAATCACCTATCGGTGAAGGACAATAAACCAAATACATTGTTTTATGATTCTGTATTATAGCTGGTCATTGTCCAGATCCATTTAACATGCACTTAATAATTATAGGTTAGCTAACATATAATTAAAATAATAAGCGGCTCCGTTCTATCACACTTGGTCGATAGTGGTCTCGTAGTAGATAGAAATAGATCATTTAAAGTAATTTATCGTATACCTATTACCTTTCCTTACATGATCTGATCTCACCTCTTACATAAGCTATAAGGATTCTTTTTAGAGTAGACAATTATCTTTTACATTTATTGCAGAAATTATTACTTCGAATCACTTTTGAAATTATTGCGTAAATCTATTCTTTGATAGTCTTTTGTCACTTTATTAAGTTACATAACATTTATTTTATTCAATACCTGGAAACTTTCGACAACTTTGATTATTTCACCAAATTATGTAACACCTCTTCATTTTTTATAGACTTACGTCCAATACTCCTTTATTTCACTGTAGACTACTAAATTTGGAAAATTATCTACGCTTAAATGAATTAGAACATCCAACTTTATACTATGACATTGATCTGAAATGTTGGATGATGAGTTCAGTCTTTAAATGAATAATGTTTCATTGCAGAGAACACTCCTCACAATTGATTGATCACTGGGTGGTGATCAATGTCATGTATGTCAAATCCTTCTTAGTGCAGATCGTATGCTGTCAATCAAGTTGCAATGTGAACACTAGTCTAGGTGACTCGACAATGTATGCACTATGTTAAGATAGAATGATGGTTGGACGTAGTCAACAAGAAACCCTAGACCGGGGTTTCGTCCTCTTTGACATTCGTCAGCAAGGTGTACCTATAATCTTGAGGGAACTGATGCTTCATCTATAAAACTTGTTTAAACGTCCTCAGAGTTTATAGATGATAATCATCACGAACTGATGTTAGTTGGCGAACTGTTGAAAATGACCACAACACCTACGCATTGTTACCTGAAGAAATTTACACAAGTTTGCTGAACGAAACATTGGAATTGTCTAAATTTCATTTGCTGAAATAATTGAAAATATAATTTTCGTAAATAATAACTTCTATTTACTCACAACTCATTTTCTATCAAACTAGTCGTACAAATATTAACAATCATTTCAATAGTATATATTGATAATAAATAATAATCTTACCTCTTCTTCTAATGCTTTAATTCTCAATTCAGCATTATCCAATAATTTGTACAATTCTAATCGTTCATTATCTGCAAGTGCTGTTCGAAATTTTTCATTTTCCTGAAGTATTTCATGGAAAAATAAAAAAATAGAATTTGAAGTAACCCCATTAGAATGAATGTATTGTGCTTACTGAGTTATCGGTTCACTTTTTACTTCTCACCTCTTCTAGTTTCTTTCATATACGTTATTTATCACATTTCCCTAGCACACAGAGTATTTCTAAGCTACTAAAGAATAATAGTGACAGTATATATTTATTTTGATGCGACGGGTGTTTTCTGAGATTGGTTCGATTTATAGATAGCAATCATCATGCACAGACACCAGTCGGTAAACTATTGAAAATATCCACAATACCCATACAACAAAATTATACTCGTCATCCTACTAGCAACTTGAATGACGATGAGTTCCTAAAGTTCTCATAAAAAATCTGTGACCAGCAAAGTTCGAATATACCATGAGTGAAATATCGATAGCATTGGATCATCATCATCTCACGTTCAGTTGAACTTAAGAATGTATTCGATTGGCTTACAATCCAATGATCTGAAATTTAAATGCTTGTTGCGAGACATAAAGGTTCTTTTTCCGATTCCTGTCAGAGATCCTAAAAAGATTCTTATTAGAACAAAACAATTATTCGATCCTTCATGGTTTTCAATCATACCCTAACCAAGGTTAATCTATGACGAATGACATGTGTACATATCGATTATTTTAACGTAAAGCTCTAGTTTCAAATATCACCATTACAAACAGATTGATCTGATCGTATAGACGTTAGCCTAGATAACAAATAAAAGTGATTAGAGTTGTATGAGTGATTCAACAACATTTTTGCCTTTGTCAAAAACCCAACTATCTAATCAAAGATAGGTTTTTGAATTAGTATCATGAAATAATCCTATTATGTAATATAAAACACCTCTGTTCTCTATTAGAACTCTTTATTATTATTTTCCAGTATATTTCATCTAATAAGAGCAAAGATAGAATAAACTCAAAAAAATTTCCATAAATTATCCCAATTGCATTTATTTACATCAAATATATTTTTTGATTAAAATCATGAATTGATCAATGTTAGACCACCAATGAAAACTTGGAAGTACTAGACAGTCGATTCTTCCCAGTACGCAACTCCTCGGCAGTGTGTATCTGCGAGCCTACACGCGAGATTCAAACCTAGGACCTTCGGCTTCAACTTCAAACAAGGCCAGTACTTCTAAATTTTCAATAATAATCTAACAATGATCGATTCATAATCTTAATCAAAACCCAACAATCTTCACAATCCTATACTAATAAATATATTATAGTCTCAATAGTTGAGATCATGAGTTAATTGGATCTAGATCACTATGATAAATATGGAAGCACTGGACGGCTGTTTCGTCCTATTGTGGGACTCCTCAGCGGTGCACTTCCATGATCCCGCCTTGCGAGATTCCAACACAGGACTTATCAGTCTCGCGCGCAAACGCTTAACCTCTAGACCACTGAACTGGCCGGTATCCAATGGTGTTAATGTCTAGATCCAACTAATCCACGAAATGGAATGACACATCCACTATTATCATCAATGAGTTAGTATCTCACAACAGACTCGGTTGAACTCCACTAGTCACTGCTTCTCACCAGAACTCCAGGATATACCTTTTGAAGTCAGTCAATAGTGAGCATATGTTGATGAATATCAGAAGGAATTTTGTGGATATTATAGTAATTTCAATAATTGAGATCATGGAATCAATTGAAATTAGACCACCATAGAAAACCAGGAAGCACTGTTGATCTAGCTCCAACTGATTCTATGATTTCAACCATTGAAATAACTATAATATCCAGAAAACCCCTTCTGATATTAAAAAAAAAACAAACAAACAACAACTTACAATTTGATCAAGTCTTTTATTTTTCAATATTGTTTGTTCTTCTAAACGATTTTGTTGTTCTTTTAATGCTTGAATTTCTTCATGATATTTTTGTTCAATAGTTTGATGATATTCATTATTATCTTGTTGTTGTTTAGCTAAATTACATACAGTTCTATTTAATTCAGTAATAGTATTACGTAATTGTTCATTTTCATTAGATAAATTTCTTAATGTCATTGTTGTCATTGAATGATTTGGATTAATTGTTTGATAATTTATTATTGATTTATCATTAAATGATTCTATTAATTCATTATCTAATGTATTTAATGGATTTATTGAATAATTTGAATGATTTACATTTAATGCTTGTTCTAATATAATAAAACAAAATCATTAAATATATTACATTATAGTGAAGATTAAATTATAGGTAACTTTTGAGATCTAATAATGAAGTAATATTATCTATATATTCTTATGATATAACTATTCAGTAATTAGAGTGTGTATATCTATATTCCTCTTATTATAAGCTTCATTTTGACCTATAGATCATTATTATACGATTTACTGTTCTTAAGTTATGTTCAATTTATTGATTACAGTTTCTCAACGTTCATAGCCACATTTTGACTTGATCTTGTATAAATGTTATTTCCTATTTAATGATGTGATGTGATCTGTTTGGTTGGTATATAAACCAAATGTTTTTAAGCAAATATGAATAGTGGCTAGCAGTGTAATCCAGCTTGACGCGTGTTTCGTCCTATTTGGGACTCGTCAGCTGGAGGTACCTGCAAAAACACCATGTGAATTTAAACTTCACCTCACTGCATAAACAAATGACTATCAGAACTCAGTAGCTAAGTAGATAACGCGATGACATTTGAAGCAAACGGTACTGAGTTCGAGTTCTAGAGTGAATATGAACTCTGAGATGCAGGTACATTCAGATGACGAGTCCTAAATAGGATGAAACGCGCATCAAACTGGATTCCACTTCTAGCCACTATTCATCCTTGTTTAAAAAGCTTGTGACTTAAGGCCATATCGAGGCAATTCTCACACGATGCACATATGCCAACATGAGACTGATCAGTTACAGTTCTAAATAACAATGGGAAGATACAGGTAAAACAACACCAGGTGAATTTAAACCAAGTATGTTCGAAAGAAATTATTCGCATAGTGGAAGCTGTTATTGGTTTTCTGAACTAAACTGGACGGGCTAGGCAAATAAAGGATCAATAAGGTTGCTAGACTGATCAGACCGGTCGGATGTTTAGTACAGTACATGAGTGAACAAGTCGTATTTCGATCGACGAATAAATTAGGTGATAACCATCAGGTCTTTAAATTCACAACAATACTATTCTTATTGATGTTCGAAGCATTACATATGACAAAGAACTTGATTTATTTCGATAGAACAATAAAAAGATGACTTGATCTAAAAAATATGGTGTATTTGTGCTATGTATTTCGAACAATCTAGTCATATCTGTCAGGGCATTTTATGTAAAGATTAATAAGGGTCAATTAAATGAAAGTTTAAGTAAATAAGGTAACAAACAGAAGTGAAATAATTTTACATAGTATAGAAAGAATAGGAAATTTTCGCGTTATTAGATGTTGGAGAGGATTTGTAGCTCAGGTGGATGATTTTGATGGAGTTTTGTTTACTGAGCTAGATGGTTTGATCGTGGAGTTTTCATCATTCTTCTGAATGACATCATCAGCACAAACTTTAGATAGAAATCGAGTTATCCTAGAATGAAGGATAATGCGACAATTTCCTATTCTTTCCATACAATGTGAAATTGTTTCTCTCTTGTTTGTTACCTTGTTTACTTGAACTTTCATTTAATTGATCTTTATTAATTTTCATATAAAATGCCTTGACAGATATGTATGACCAGATTGTTTGTAATGTATAGCGCAAATACTTTACATTTTTCAGATCAATCGCGTTTTCTTATTGTTCTATTGGAATTTATCAAGGGGACTAATCGCTTTAAATTTTATTTATACTTAGAAAGGAATACAATGAAAACATTTAAAAATAACTGGTAAACAAATTTATTTCCCCCCCCTGTGTTGACATTTTTTGGGGAGTTTTATTGTTGATAAGGGATAAAGTTTAATATGTCAAACTTATCTTGTAATACCTTGATATTGGAATAGAAGGATGATTAACCTTTCAGCTTTTTTAGCCGTTTTTCATTTAATTATGATCACATTTCAATTAATTGGAACTAGGCAAATAATAATAACAATATTCTAGGCTTGATCTTACATGAAATCATGTCTGTATATGGGAACTGCTAAGTAATCTTAACCTTGGATAATATAAGTAAGAATAGTTCTATTAGATGGAATTCCATATGCTTAGTCACTTTCGAATATTGATTAAGTTATATACTTAAGACAGTTTAAAATAAAAAGGAATTATATTGGCTTACTTCTTTGACGTTCAAGAAGGGTTTCTAATCGACAAATAAGTTCTTCTTGTTGTTTAACTGTTCTCTCCAATAATGGAACTCTTGAGACTTGTTTGCTAAGTTTTTCTAAATCTAATGATTGAGATTTGAATTCAGCTTGAAGCTAAACATAAATGATGCATGAGAAGAATAAAAATATCGTTGTAGTATCGATTAAATATTGAGCAGTTTTAAGTGTTACATTTCACGTTCTAAGCGCTTTTTTCATACAGAATAACAATAATACATTTTCAGTAAGGGGTTGTGAAGATCATTGAATTCATTAATCGATCTAAGTTAAACCAACATTAAAAACCTGCAAGCACTGGACGGCCAACTCTTTATAACATGGAACTCTCTACCAGTGGTCATGCACGATCCCACAGATGGACTGGAACTTAGAACCTTCGGTCTTTTGCACAAACACCTAACCACTAGACTACTGAGCCATCATCCAACTGTGTTAATGTCTAACCTCAATTAATCCATGATATTGCGCGAGACCTAAGGTCCTATAATCAATGAAACGCTAAAGAATAAGATTCCAACAAATATTAATGAAGTCAGTTATAACATATATTTTAAAATAAATAATTAAAGTGTAGTCTTATGTAGGTAAATATACGTTATTGACTAGAAATCTATATACGTTCAGTTACCAAAAACAATTGTTTATTTGAAGGGAATTTTGTGTATATTCATTTGATTTGCAAGTTGTATTCGTCACAGTTTGATCTTAATCGGATTACTATTGAAGACTAATTCACAACTACAACATTGCATACTAGGTCAATCCTACATGGTTTCTAATAATACCCCAAGTGAGAGCAATCTGTAACAAGAACAAACTACAAACTAAATTAGCATCCATAAAACAACTCCAACCACTTTTCAACCTTTATCATAGGAGCTTAATATTGAAATTATCAGAGGGTTTTATTGGATAAACTGAGAATGCCACATTGAGATAAAAGTACTAGTCGTTTGCAGAAATGTCCATATTGCTCATATCACTTGACAACAAAACTGCACAAAAATCACTGAAATGACAAAAAACGAATCATAGCCAAGATATATGTTTTTCATAATGTATTATTCTCTAAACTAGATAGTGGGATTTACTTTCTTTCTTCATCACTCTGTATGATACATTTACAGTCTACTTCAAGTAGAACTGAGGCTTTCAGATATTCCATAAATGTTATATCAGTTTATTTTGATGACCTTGCTTGTAATGGACTGTTTTCATACTGACTATTTCTATCGATTTACCTTTTGGCATATCGAAATAGATTCATTATATAAACCCATAGATCAGAAGTTAGTTAACAAAGACAGTCAGCATAAATGAAAATAGTAAAATCTACGAAAATAGTTAATTACAAACAAGATCATTAAAAAAAGTCTAATACAACAGTTTTAGAATAGTTTTAATGGTTAAGATCATGAGTCAGTTGAAGCTACACCACCATGGAAAACCTGGAAGCACTGGACGACTGTTTCGTCCCATTGTGGGACTCCTCAGCAGTGCACATCCATGATCCCGCCTTGCGAGATTCCACCACAGGACTTATCAGTCTCGCGCGCAAACGCTTAACCTCTAGACCACTGGACTGGCCGGCATCCAACGGCGTTAATGTCTAGCTGCAACTAATCCACGAAATTGAATGACACATCCACCATTATCATCAATGAGATACTATCTCACAACAGAGTCGGTTGAATTCCACTGGTCACTGCTTCATACTAGAACTCCAGGATATACCTCTTGAAGTCAGTCAATAGTGAGCATATGTTGATGAATATCAGAAGGGGTTTTGTAGAGATTGTAGTAATTTCAATGGTTAAAATCATGAGTCAGTTGAAGCTAGACCACCACGGAAAAGCTGGAAGCACTGGACGGCCAACTCATCCTATTGTGGGACTCCTAAGTAGTGCGCATCCACGACCTCGCCCCCTGCAAGATTCGAACCCAGGACCTACTGGTTTAGAATAATTGAAAAGATCATTTCTGCACAAGGAAGACGCCGACTATGTTGTCAAGATTGATAATGAATACTCTATAAGTAAACAGATACATAAACTCTTGGTATATATATGTATAGAAGAACATTTATAAATTTCATGAATATATATATATATATACATTACCCGAATCAATTTCTCTTCATTTCTCTTTTGATGAATTAATTGATCTTGTAAAATAGTAACACGTTCTTTGTAAAATGTTAATTCACTTGCTGCTCTAAGTAATTTCTTCTTCATAATCACTAAATGATTCAAAATGTAAATTTAGTTGAATGTTAGTATAATATTTATGAATTCTGTATAAATGAATTTAAAACAGATCTTGTATTATAATCTGTACAATAGAAATTAGTGATCATTCCACCTAGAAACATATTATCAGTTCATCTAATATATTCGGTTTTAACAACTACTATAAATCAGTTATAATCAGCATAGAGATTAATACGAATTTTTATTGATTCAAGAGTTCCCATTACATAATAGATTGATAAAATGAAAAGAACAAGACAATGGAAATAACCATTGAAGCAATGATAGTGAAAGAGACTTAATGAAATATTTAAAATTCAAGACCTAGGAAGATTCAAAGAGTGAACTCATCTGTATCATTATGATCGATTCTGATTCATATCACTCAATGTCTCAAACCACTGGTCACAACCACTTAATCTCCAATCAACTGGTCAACAATTAACAACAATTTTCAGACTACAAGAAAACGATTTCTTGAATGAATACAAAGTCTTGATTTGGCTATTCCTAACATTCCTCCAACTTACTGTTAATCCAATCATTATTGCATATCAAGTTAGGCGGTTAGGTATATGTAATACATAACCCAGATATCTCAGTTAATGAAGGTATACAGCCTTATGGTGATGACGGATCACGGGTAAACTCGAGGAAGCTGTAAGAGGCTCAGAAGGGGCCGAAGATATTCCGAAGAATATTCTAGAATTCCTACATGTAGCTTCCCGATTGGACAATGCTAATAACCCCCTGTATGCTGATTGCAGGACTGTAATGGTGATTTCGTTCTTACTAAAAACTATAAATACCTGACAATTTTGTACTATAATTGAAACTGTTTGGAATAATAATCCTTTCATTAGTCTTCTGACTACTCCTTGAGACTTGGAAGGGTTTTGGCGTTCTAGTGCTCATTTATACGCGGTATATCGAGTAAACAACCTTCTAGATATAACACTTATCAGCTAATTTATCATATTTGATAGAAAAATCGTAAGATCCTGTATTGATTTTCAAGTGAGATTTTTTGTATTAATTTAGTGTAGATTTAGTACATTGACATTTATAGTATTTTCATTTTGCTTCATTCATTCACTGTAATTTCCCTTTCAAGTATCAACTGCTCAGTTTAACAAATCTTATCATAAATAATCATTGGATCTAATCTATATGCAATTAAATGAATCTAAATGTAAACTAGTACTTCTGAGATTTCATCAAATAAGTCTTCCTTGCAAGATTTGTATGTTTGAAGTAATCAGAGTTAGAGAAAATAGGAAATTATTATATTATAGTTCAAAGAGGCGTTACAATTATAAGTGGAACTGAAAATCATATGATTATACTTAGTACCTTAAGTCAACCGTTAACATTTCTCTCTCTATTGTTCCACAATAAATAAATGGTGTTTGGAAGATATCTATGATCAAAAATTGAATCCTATGCCTATTTTTCAATTCCATCAGCTATATTTCATTGTCATAGAGTAATAAAAGTTGATAGCAAAAACAATACTGTCTACCAAAGTTTTCCTAGAAACATCCTATGAATGTGATATATCGTTTACATACCCTATCACATCTTCACTTTATTTGAATTCTTACGGTTCTCTCTAATATAAATCAATATTTACTTAATCTAACTAATAATGAAAGTTCATTCCTAAGGTACATAGTAAAATACTATAGATTTTGAAAAGTTGGTAAGACAACTAGGAAAATAAAGTATTCTCATATGATTCTTTCTAAACTATTGTTTTTCCCTAGTAATACTGATCAGTGATTAGATATATGGGAATCCAAAACTCGGCTTTTATCCTATTTGTGACTTATTAGTAACCAACAGAGACTAATCATTCTCAAATATTTACATCAACAACAAGAAAATGCAACTTCTTAAAAAATACAACCGTTCTCTCTCCTCTTAAATACAGAAATATATATATGTACATAGACTCTAAGTGGTAATCCTTTAACCAATAATCCAAGATAACAGTATGATCAACATTAGTTAGTCGTAAATGAAGCATAACTAGTTTCTATTTACAAATAATAATATTTATATTCACTTGGTATTGTTTACTTGTTTCTTCCCATTAATGTTATTGGCAAATGTGCATATTGTGCGTATTGCCTCGATATTACCTTAATTAACAAGCGTTACAAGCAAAGATAGATAATGACTATCACCGGAATCCGGTTTGACGCGTGTTTCGTCTTATTTATGACTCGTCATCTGAATGTACATGCATCGCAGAGTTGATATCGACTCTAGGACTCAAACTCAGTACCGTTTGCTTCAAATGTCATCGCATTATCCGTTCAGCCACTGAGTCCTGATTGTCATTTGTTTGTGCAATGAGGTGAAGTTTAAATGAATGATCAATTATAGTCCTAAACATTAATACCAAGTGAATTTAAACTTCACCCCTTTTCACACGACTTAGTATCCAAGTGGATAACGTGATGACTTTTGAAGTGAACAGTACTGGGTTCGAGTCCAAGAGTGAATATCAACTCTGAAATGCAGGTACATCCAGCTGTCGGGTCCCAAATAGGACGAAACACGCGTCCTGGATTCCATTGCTAACTACTATCCATCTTTTCTTATAATAATATTTATGTTATATTTTTTTCTAGATTATCAGTTCAGTTCATTATTTAACCCGCTGTGAATATCTACTATGCGTACCAAAACTAAAATGCTATGATTTCAAAAAAACAATTGATCAATTTATCGAATTCAATTATTGATAATCGAATCATCATAATAAAACAATAATTGATGTTAATCATTAACCTTGATATCTTCTCTTTTTCACTTGAAAACACTAATCTAATTCATAGCTTAATGAGTTGAATTGTTTGAATAACATATATATGGATATCTAAGTTTATTCGTTCCCAGCATGATATTTACCAAAAAAAAAACGGTTTGTTTTTTGCGTACATTACCACTTTTCGGAAGAAAAAAAGAATTTTTTTGTGGAAATAGTATTTTACTCTTAGGGTCAAGTGTTCAGCTAATAAGGGGGTACAGATTACCATATCATAATTTGGATCCGTTTACTAATTAGATCGTAAGTATACAACTATGAATTGGATATTAAGATAATATAACTGTTCACTTCACCCTCATTTACAATATACTCTAATTCATCAATCCATAATGTTAATTTCAGTTCTAAACATCAATGGGAAGATTTAAGTAAACAATACTAAGTGCATTTCAACTTCATCCCATTTCGCCCCCAAATGCCCTGGTATCAGCCCCCAAATGCCCTGGTATAGCCCCCAAATGCCCTGGTATGGCCGAGAGCGGGGAGGGTTCGCCCTCCCTTTCGAAATACTCTCACACGGCCACGCGTATACAGCCTCTGCCAGGGAAGTCCTACTCACCGCCTTCTCGTGGCGGGGGTGTTGTTTACGAAAATGAGAGGGATAAAAGCGAATGTCCGGCGCTATAACCGGATCCCAATTCTATGGTGCACATGAGATCCAGTATCATGCGGGGACAAATGGCGTATGAACCAACTTTTGGTCACCGGCTTCCATGGGACTGCATCTCCTCACGATGCTCCACTGCCTTGTGGACTAGACCTTTAGGTCAAAGGCTCGGGGTGTGGCCCCCTAAGAAAACCACCTGCTTCGGTCTGGGCGCCCGGGCAGTATCTCAGCCCACACACTAAAACTATGATGAACTATTTGCTTATAGAAAATATTCGTTTCTCTCTGACTAACATTGAAATGACTGGTATTATTATTATTATTATTATTATTATTATTATTGCTATTTACTACGTCATTTATTCACTATCTCCTATTTCTACTTTTTGTATCCGTTTCGACTCAGACAGCAGCTCGCCTATGGTGAAAATTCAGCTTTATCTAAACGTTCTCGAGTCACTGCCTGGTTGAAAATTGTATGTTGCCACCGAATACGAGTACTGAAGCAGTTTTTCTGAAACCACGTGCACCATTCAAACTTCGTGTGGCGCATATATATTTGGTGCCCCCCTTGTACCAATATTTATGTGTTCAAATAAATAAATAAATAAATAATAATAAATCATCTCATTTCACAGGATGGTGTTTGAAACGAACAGTACTGTATTCAAGTCTTGAAGTGAAGATCAACTCTGAAATGCAGGTACATTTATTTGAGGAGTCCCAAATAAGGCAAAACGTGAGTCAAACTGGATTCCACTACTAGCCACTATCCAACTAACTATGGTCTAATAAATTCTAATATAAACAATATATAATAGAAAATAAATATAACTTACCAAGTAAATTTAATGCTTCTTTACGACTGACTGGTATTTCTCTAAGTAGATCTTCCCAACCAGATCCAAGTACATTTAATCGTAACCAATCCCAATTGGTGAATTCAAAATGTTTTTCCATTGGATCTAAATAATCTGAACTAAGATATTGTGGCCAATATTTAGAATTTTTATTAATTAATGATTGTTTCTCTGATAAATAATTTATATTTTCATTGAAATTATGATCATCTTGTGATTGATTTATATCCTAATTGTTTAAAATAATAAAAGAAACCTGAATGTTATATAGTATATAATATAAAATATTTTCAATAATATTAAATCATAAATATGAAGATTACTTTCAACGTTGTCATTCATTCAGAGATGTAATCATAAAATCAACCATATCAATAGTTAGACACTAATTCTCAGATGACATTATTTGCTTACTTACTTATGTCAGTTCTCCCTTCTGGAGGAGAATAGATCATCCACTAACACTCTCTATCCAACTCTGTTCTGGACAATACTTTCCAGTTCTTTCCAATTGTTATTCATTCTTCTCATATCTGCTTCCATTACCCGACGTAATGTGTTCTTCAGCCTTCCACTTCTCCACCTCTCTTCAGGATTCCAAGTTAACACTTGTCTCGTGATGCAGTTTGATGATTTCCGTAGTGTATGTCCTATCCACTACCAACGTCTTTTCCTAATTTCATCTTCAGCTGGAATCTGGTTTGTTCTCCCCCACAGTAGGCTGTTACAGATGGTATCCAACCAATGGATGTTGAGCATTTGAGTAGATAGCTATTGATAAATACTTACACCTTCTACACGATGGTTGTAGTAGTTCTCGGAGTTTCAGATTTGTACAGTAGAACTGACTGTGTTGATGTTCGCACTGAAGATTGTGACTTTGATATTGGTTGACAGACAGTTGTTTTGAGTTCTATATGTTCTTCAATTGTAGGAATACCCCTTGCTTTGCCAATCCTCGCATTGACGTTTGCATCTAATCCTCATTGTTCATCAATGATGCTCCTCAGGTATGTAAAGGATTCTACATCTTGCAGAGTTTCGCCATCAAGATTGATTGGGTTGGTGTATGTTGAGGCCTACTGATGCACAGACTGCTGCTACACTGGTTGTCTTCATCTGCATTTGTTCGTGTGTATGGGATAGAATATTTTACATTTACTGTCTGTTTATCATTAGTTTTTATTCATGATCCATGATTGATTTAATTTGTTCAATTTGTTAGTAATTATAAGTTAAAATGTGTTTGCGTTGTTTATATAGAAAAACTGACTTAATTTAGGCAACTGGTTGATAATTAGGGAACATTTGACACCTCAGCAATACAATATTTGCCGGTTAACGTTATGTGGAACGATTTGTCTAATCACTTTGGACAGTGGAAGCAGTGGCATTAAGGATGAGCGTTTCATTCGGTTTTGGACGCGTCAGATGGAGTTACTTATATCTTAGTGTTGATGTTCACTCCGAGACCCTAGATCCCATAGTCGATATACAATAAAAGACCCAAACACAGTACTATTCGTCTAAAACGTCATAACGCTAATCAATTGGCCATTGAGTCTGCACTGCCACTAGCTTCTTTAACAGGTATGATTTTTTCTTAGGAGTTTAGATTTTTTCACTGTGAATGAAAAAGACTGAATACAATCAGTCTCTGTTGGCAAACATCAAAGTAATCCACTCAGAACACAAATGTAAAAGATATTGAATAAATAAATTCTATATGAATAGTTATTAAAACTTACATTATTCGGATTATTTTTTTGATGATAACGATGCTGATCACTAGAACGAGAAGAGATTTTCTTAATATTTACTGATTCATCCTTGATATTCTTTTTATCTGGTTTCACAGCTGAATTATGTTTAGATTTTATAGGATCAGGTTGCATATAATTTGGGACATCATTCAGTAAACTGTTTAATGGGCTCTCATCATCTTCTCCTTCTTGGTTCATCACTTCTGAATTTAGCTATGTCAATAAAATAGAAAATTAGTAAATCATCAAAAGCGTTGGTAAATTTTTAAATTAGATTTTCGTCGATTATTTTGTGTTGTGATTGTGCTACTAAATATGTTTAAAGTAGTATGAAATTAGTCATAGAATATTTCCAGGTTGGTGGACCATGGATAGGTAACTTATGACTATCGAGAATCTTCCGTTATTTGTCTGGAAACTATCATTAAAACAAATCCTAGGGAAAAATTAGCACCCACAAGCCTCTAATCCTTCTAAATCGGACCTAAAACCTTAAAACCTTAAAGAAAGCCTCTCATACTTTAACCATTATGTTAATATCTGATTGTCTACATTTCTAACTTGTGTCAGAATATGATATTGCACGAATACTATCCATTGTGAATTATGAGCCTACACGATGTCCAGTAAACATAGCTCGTATAAGATTTGAATAGCGTTTAGAATCCATCAAAGTGATATTTTCAACTCTTAAATTTACTTTAAAGTTCAACCGAGTCTGTTGTAAGATAGTAACTGACTGATGACAATGATGGACGTGTTACTCAATTTCGTGGATTAGTTGAAGTTAGATATTAACACCGTTTGGATACCGGCCAGCGCATTGGTCTAGTGGTTAAGCGTTCGTGAGCGAGACCGATAGATCCTGTGTTCGAATTTCGCGGGGCGGCGGGATCTTGGATGCTCACCACCGAGGAGTCCCACAATAGAATGAAACGGCCGTTCAATGTTTCCAAGTTTTCCATGGTAGTCTGGTTTCAATCGAATCATCATCTTAACTGTTCAAGTGATTCATTGAAAGTTAGAAAAATTTAAATAATTATCTCATCCATAGCATTAGATAGTCAACTAATTTCTATCAACAATCAACAATTCAGTATAAAAATACTTTATCTAAAATTCAAATTTCACTACTTTACACAACATAAGTAGTATATACAACATTTAACATTATCTGTTATTTAAATTAATCAAAATTTATGAATTATTAATATCGTATACAAGTTGCTTAGTAACAGGAAAGATCAACTATACTTACATAACTAGTTGAACAGAATTCAAAAGAAAATGATTACGTAAGTCTCTTATTAAGACCATATTTAAATAAAATTGATTCCCTGCTTTATAGACAATAATAATCCTATGATAATCAGATTTTCAATCTGGAAGACGACTGAAAAAAATCATTTATGTATATAACACAACAATATAGACTATTCTAAAAACATTGGTTTACTTAATACATATGTATGTATAGCGTTATTATTAACCATTAATAAGTTATATCAACTTTATACAAATGAATATATACTTGAAACTTATGTTGAAGTTAGTTACAAATAATCTAAGGATTTAGAAAAAAGTGTGTTGTGGTAACCTGCAAAATCTAATAACAGGTTACTATCATATATTGATATAAATTAGAAGAATATCTGTCGTACAGGAGGACTGTATATATTGGGTTCAAAGATAATACGAAGCATTAGTTTACTGAGATTATAAGGTGCACCTCAACGAACAACTAGCGAGCAACTTAAAGTAAGCATGCTTTATTGTCAACTACTTCCGACCACTTAACATCAAAATAGCAAGTGGTGGATTGCAGATAATGTTGTATTTGCGCTTTAAAAATACAATTAATGCATAGGAGAATCATTTAAAGATATCAAGTTGTGTGTCAATGTTTAAATCTAAGTGCTTACTAAGCTCTATAGAATAGCTTTGTAGTCAGTTACATTAGGTTTGAGAACAGAAATCATGGAGTATGACATCAAGTTTTCTATATGCTAAGCAAACTCAAATAAATCATATGAGATATGTCGAGGACGTATGGCGGATGAGATGTAAGTATGGTCGATGAACCATGAGGAAACAGATTATTCACCTTGTTATGTAGATCAGTCTAATCGTCAGTAAAATACTCATGAGTTTCAAGGGTTATCATTTGGCATTTGAAAATAAAGCTGTCTACATAGTCATTGACTTCTGCATATATAAATTAGTAAAACGTTAGGAGGATGAAAACTAACTTAATCGGACCACAAGCTATAAACGTTTTATCATCCGTCAGAGAACCCAATCTATAGATTGAAGTAGCTAATTAATAACTTATGTGGTCATGGTGTACTTTAAGTCTCCAAAGTATCACTGGTTCATTCTAGACATCACGATATCCTTACTTATGAGTCATGTTGTATAGATAAATGTAGATTCATAACCTCTTGGTAATTTCGTCTGACCAGATGGTCTTAACTGTCAAAATCAATCAGTATTTTCTATTAACAAGCATTTTATATGCATTTAATCAACATAAACTCCATACGAATGAATGGAATATACTTGTAATATTTTTTCATAAAGCCACGTTGACTTTTCACACTGACGATTATGTTCAACCGGAATAAAAATTTAAATTCATCATGTCTTATGAAAATTCTGAGTAATAATAAAAACAATCGTCCATACCTTCGGCGGTGTATATATTCAATGTACTTGGAATGATTTCACTGAAATCATGAACCAATCTAAGTTGGAACATGATTAAAAAACTGAAAGTACTGGACAGCCGTTTCATCCTAGTGAGAGACTCCTCAGAAGTGATCATCTAAGACCCCATATCTGAGGATCGAAACCAGAACTTGCTGTCTTACACTCAAACTCTTAACCTCTAATCCACTGAGTTGGCGTCCAGTGAATTGTTGTTGTTATCTAACTTAACAACGCAAGAATATTAAGTGCAATCAATTAAAAACAGGTCCGATTAAATTATATCATTCCGGTCAAGGTGATTTATATGAGGGATATTTGTGTATTTGTGTGTCTAGACATTTGTGGTGCGAAAGAATAGAGTTGAATTTGTGTGTGCGATGATGACCAGAGATGTGACTAGAATCAGACATGATAGCTCGAATAAATGATTCGAGTCAGATGGATAGTAGGGTCTTCCTTTCTATTGAGGGCAATAGGATTAAGTAATGTATACAAAGCTTCAGCTACTCGCCCTTCATCATAGTTGAAAAAGCCCTTTTGAATTATTTGGGTGTTTTGATAATCGACTTGATAGGTATTGAAAATGGCATAGACTATAACTACCGAATTAATTTGGAATCTTTCCAGCTCTGCGGAATTGTTAGGAGATTTCTTTGTGTACCTAAGACACTCTTTGGCTTGAGTCAAGATTTCACAGGATGGCTTTTCGATATAGAAGGCATCGCAATCAAGACAATCTAATTTTTAGACACAATTCTGTGTTCACACAAAGAGGATTTAATTCTTTATGCGAACTAAGATATTTCATAGGGTCTTCCTTGTTTTGTAATATGCTTTAATTTTGTGTTGTTTTAAGACTCTTTGGAGTTCTGTTGTACCATGGCGGTATGGTAAAACTACCGTACCAATCCATAGTATTTCATTCAGATCATTATTTAGCAGTAACACGTCTCGTTTTATTTGGCTTTTAATAATCTTCATAGGAAAATTATTAAGTTGTAAGATGTTAATTATATGCTTTCTTACTTTTTATTTATCCTCTTCAGACGTAATAATCTCGTTTACTTTTCTATAAAGATTTAGGGCCAGAGAGAATTTCGCTGAAGTCTATATAATTATTTGAGTGTGTTGGTTTTCGATAGGTGGTTAGATTTAGAGATCCACTTAGATTTCTTCTAACTAAGTAATCTAAAAATGGTAGCTTACCGTGTTCATTTTCTTTCTCGTATGTAAATTTAATTTGAGATGAGAGTGTACTGATCAATTTAGAAAACGATCTTAGATGAGTCTTTTTTATGATAACAAAGGTATCGTCTACATACCTGAGCCAAATCTGTAGTTTAATATCATCGACAAAAATATCCCATTCTACATGTGACATAAACAGATTGGCTACAATCGGGTACAAGGAGGATCCTATTGTTACTCCGCTTGTTTGCTTGTATAATGTCCCGTTAAAAGTAAATAAGGTTGAATTTAAGCACAGTTTTAGGGATTTCATAATTAGACTGATGCTTAAAGGATATCGGCCAGATTAAGTATTGTCATTCTCTAGTAAATCACTAATAAAGTTTATGCATCTATCAATAGGAATACTAGTGTATAATGAGACAATATCATAGTTTATCATGGTTTCATTCTTTTAAAAAATTAATTCCGATAGTTTCTATTTAAAGTCGTAGGACTCTTGAATTATATTATGTAAGTTATGTTGAATTGGCTTTAATAAGTTGTTCACGTATTTAAATAATGCATATGTTGGAGTGTTTGTAAAGTCTACTATAGGTATTAGTAGGAATTTGAGATTAACCATAAAAACGTGAATTACTGCATGATTTGGGATGTGAAGTTAACCATAACGAGGCACCAATGACCAATTTTAGTTCTTGCAAAAGTTGACTTGTCTGTGATTTGACTTTATTTTTAACCATTTAAAGATATTTTGGATCAATCCTTTGATATGGTTCTGTGGAAAGATTTTCAAAAGCTGTAGCATAATGGTCCTTTTCATTCATGACTACTATTGTGTTTTACTTGTCAGCTTTCGTGTTTACAACTGTTCTGTCTAAAGTTCATTTTTGGAAATGTTAGATATAAGGTGTTTATGTTTAGTCAAAATATGAGATAATTTTCAATAATTTGTATTAAAATAGTTGAGATTATGAGTCATTTAAAGCTAGACTACCATAGAAAACCTGGAAGCACTGAACGGCCGTTTCGTCCTATTGTGGGACTCCTCGGTGGTGCGCATCCACCATCCCGCAGCCTCGCGAGATTCAAACCCAGGATCTATCAGTCATAAAAGAATATCACCCTGAAGTTAGTCACAAACTGAAGGTATTATATTGTTTTGAACGAAACAATAAGGTCATCTATAATATATGCCAACACAACAATGAAAGAATCTATCTGTTCGTTTGTTATTGCGTGGATATCAGTTTGATTGTTAAATGACACAATTTATATCTTCACTTATGGACAATTTAAGATGAAAGAATTTATGGGTAATTATAAGTTATTCAAAGAAGACTAGTGAATTTTTTGAAGCAAAAAACTCAAACTACTCAATGATCAATAAATATATCGACGTGCATCCAATCTATGACAACGGATTAGACAGTCAAAAATTGGTTGAGTAAAACAAACAATTAATAGGATCAACTGTTCTTTTCACATCCAATATTGATAAAACATTCTGTTATTTATTTGTGAAGGAATCACATAGTTCTAAATTATTTCGAAGTGCTTTAATGGGTTGAAAATATTTTCAGAAAGACATTTAAAGTTATTACTGAATAATTCCTTCAACTGTATGTGAGTAGTATCAGTCTCTCATCTATCCACCTACCTAAAATACAGATTAATACGATTTTTTTTTCTTTTTTATCTCACTTCCTACTGGTTTTATTATGAATAACTATAATGAGCATAAATAACTATTTTCAAAATTAGTATTGTGAAGTGATCTTACATAGATTACTAATGTAGACCTGGACCACCTGACAATCATTTCATCCTAGTATGAGACTACACAGAAGTACACATACACAAACAGATAACCCAGAATCGAACCAACGACCCTCATTCTCGTGACGAATGCTTAATCTTTAGATCACTAAGCCGGCAACTAACACCGTTAATGTCTAACTTCTAACAATTCACAACACTTCTCAACCCGCATGCATTGCCTGCCGTCAATTACTGTCTCATATCCTGAGACGAAATGGCCGTACAGTGTTTCCATGTTTTCATTGTTGGTCTAGTTGAGATCAACTTATGATTTAAGCTCTGAAAGTTTTCCCAAACTCTACAAATCCCCTAAACTGATAAATAATAATTCCCATACTCTTGGGTTACTTATTTTCTTCCGTGTCCGGTTGAGACAGGTATCTACCTCAGTACAATGGAAGATGGTCGCGTAACTTCGTGGATTGGTTGAGGTTAGACATTAACACCATCGGATACCGGCTCAGTGGTCCAGTAGGTTAAGCGTTTGCGCCCGAGACTGAAGGCCCTGGTTTCGAATCTCGCGAGCGGGATCGTGGATGAGCACTGCCAAGGAGGATTCCCACAATAGGACGAAGTGGCCGTCCAGTCGTTCCAGGTTTTCAATGGTGGTCTAACATCAATCGGTTCATGATTTCAATTAAAAACTTGACAATCTCCACAACCCCTAGACTGAAAGTCGTTATCACTGGTTTTACTACAATGAACGTTAGGAGAGCCAATAAATTTTATAATATCTATGTCTTATTATAGCTGTCAATAATGAACACTAATGATAAACAATAGTATATAACAACCGACAACTGTGTATTTTTCTTTAGATAAAACTTAGTCGCTATTTCCTTTCCAAGCATGACTTCAGTTAATTTAATTAACGTTATATCTGACATATTGTAAAACCCCTTTGTTAGAAATTGAATTGTATTGTATTATTTCTCATGAATAAAGGTCATTCTTAGGTCGTTCTATCTCGGAATTTTTTTATTGATGACATTGCATTGATACAGTTATTATCGTTTTATCACAATCTTACTAGAATTGATTCTAATACACCAACATTTGAAATGATTAATACTACTTCCAAATGAATTTATGATATGTTCATGTCATAGCGTAGGATTTAAAACGCTTTACAGACGATTCGAAAATAAAATCATCTAAGATTTAAAGTGCAGTTGTAATACTCAGAGCATCTTTTATCTCAAAACTTGTATACATTCTCTTTATCACGTTTCACCAAAATCTTTAGGAATGTTATTTGACATTACACTAATGAACAGTTTGTGATTTCCATCTGGTACACAGTCGGCTTTCACAATGGGGAATTTGGGTAAACGATATCCATCGGTATACAAACTGGTCTTGTATATTTAAACGATCCACTTCCAGGTGACTAAACACTACGAAGCGTTGTCAACAAGATACTATGTGTTTCTTTAACTCTGTGAAAACTGCTACTTGATGATATCTCATAAGAATATTTCATCGTACTAATGAATAGTAAGGCTTGAATGACATGACTTTACCTTCAATTCTATAGTTGGCTAATGTGCATGTGAATTTATTGGGATATCTCCAATATAAAGTGTTTTTAACTAATAATATTTCATTATTAACAGTATACATTAGCTACCCTATTCCTATCTTGATGACTAAATTTGAAAGAAACATAGGATGACTATAATATTTTATGACAAGATGTTGACCGTTTTAACTGGAGACCCTATTCCGAGTTAAAACGAAAACTTTAACTAAACATTTTTGAATATCTTTTTGTTTCTCAAGTATTTTCATTTCCTTTACATAACAAACAGCACAATGTTATTTGTCGTTAAAGAGTCTCAGGTTAATTCGAATAAATGTTTATGATATTTCATATACCCACATCCTGAGGATTAAAGAGGTTCCGAGTTTCTATCCATTTACCTTCAAAATCCTAAAGTCTCAATCTAATCACTTAGAATAATGGCCACATCGCAGCTTGGTTAATATAACCCGGCTAACACTAAGCATTAAACATACTTGACACAAGTCGAACCCAATTGATCAATCAATTGTGACTATTTTAGTAAAAACAGGATATCAGTTGGACTTAAGACTTTCTTTACTCGAGTAGCTAGATCATCTTCACTTACAAGCTTCTACATCAATTGGTATCAGTGACGATAATTCTATCTACCAGAATATGTTCGTTATTCAACTGAGCAATCTGATGTATTTGAACATTTACTTATGTTCAAGTGTTCATGTATTTATTTACCAACAACGTTATCAATTCTGATGCGTTTATTCACTGTTTATTATCCAGTCCCAGAGTTTTGAAATTATTACAAGTTTCAAGGATTTATAGACATCACACTTGTAATTTCAATAGTTGAAATCATGAATCAATTGAAGCTAGACCACCATGGAAAACGTGGAAGCATTAGACGGCCATTTCGTCCTAGTATGGGACTCATCAGCACTGAGCGAGACTGATAGGTCCTGGGTTCGAATCTCGTAGATGTGCGCTGCTGAAGAGTCTCATACCGGGAAGAAACGGCCGTCTAGTGCTTCCAGGTTTTCCATGATGGTCTAGCTTCAATTGACTCATAATTTCAACTATTGAAATAATCAAAATCTCCACAAAACCCCTTCTGATCACAATTGTAAATTAATTTCGAGAAGTAATTCCCAAACTTCAAATCAGAACTCATGAATAGCAGATTTTAACTGTCTCAGATTTTAGGCATTTCTCTACTAACAATGTTGAAAAACAGTTGCATAGAATAAAAAATCAATAAATTTAAAAGTACAAACCAAAATAGTGGTTTAACGATTTAACGATCACCAAAAGACCAGGATGTTTTAAACGCAACCCTCAACAGTAGACTCAATGACATACATTGCTGAGGTGTCAAATGTTCCCTAATTATCAACCAGTTGCCTAAATTAAGTCCGCTTTTTTATATAAACAACGCAAACACATTTTAACTTATAATTACTAACAAATTGAACAAATTAAATCAATCATGGATCATGAATAAAAACTACTAATAAACAGACAGTAAATGTAAAATATTCTATCCCATACACACGAACAAATGCAGATGAAGACAACCAGTGTAGCAGCAGTCTCTGCATCAGTAGGCCTCAACATACACAAGGGAAAACCAAGATCCTCAAACACAACAAAAAGAACATCAACCCAATCACTCATGATGGCGAAACTCTGCAAGATGTAGAATCCTTCACATACCTGAGGAGCATCATTGATGAACAATGAGGATCAGATGCAAACGTCAATGCGAGGATTGGCAAAGCAAGGGGTATTCCTACAATTGAAGAACATATAGAACTCAAAACAACTGTCTGTCAACCAATATCAAAGTAACAATCTTCAGTGCGAACATCAATACAGTCAGTTCTACTGTACAAATCTGAAACTCCGAGAACTACTACAACCATCATGAAGAATGTACAAGTATTTATCAATAGCTGTCTACTCAAGATGCTCAACATTCATTGGTTGGATACCATCTGTAACAGCCTACTGTGGGAGAGAACAAACCAGATTCCAACTGAAGATGAAATTAGGAAAGACGTTGGTAGTGGATAGGACATACACTACGGAAATCATCAAACTGCATCACGAGACAAGCGTTAACTTGGAATCCTGAAGAGAGGTGGAGAAGTGGAAGGCTGAAGAACACATTACGTCGGGTAATGGAAGCAGATATGAGAAGGATGAATAACAATTGGAAAGAACTAGAAGTATTGTCTAGGACAGAGATGATGGACGACCTATGCTCCTGCAGAAGAGGGAACAGATGTAAGTAATTATGTATGTATATGAATGGTTGCCGTCTATCGGGATCGGACGGTAATAGTGTGACTTGACTTACATCAAAATTATACCTCACAGCTAATACCCAACTTGATAACAATAAATGTAAAAAAGAAAAACAAAACATAAAAATTATTTTATTTAGAATATTACTTACTTCACTTGTACTAGGACGATAATACAATCCGGACATTATAATCAATTCATTTATGAAGGTTCCTTGTAAAATAAAATCAACGTTTTGTTTTTCTAATGTAAAAACTCTTAATAATGGTAATCCTTCAAGTATACATATACAATTAATTATAAGATAATGAAATCTTATATAAACCAAATTATCATTCAATAGTGAATGTTAAACATTGTATATTGAACTCAGCCGTGTGTATATATGTAATCATATATCTATATCATGTACATATACATATACATATGGGAATATTGTTTCAAACAAAGGATAATATCTGTCTTGTTTGTTTTCTATGTATCATAATTCAAATAGGAACGAATTAATAATTGTATCGTGATTATCATCATCCGTTGATAATCATAATCATTATTATTATTATTATTACTATTACTATTATTATTATTACTTTTATTCATCTGCTTTGAAAAAAACAAATAATAAACATCATAAAGAAAAATAAACTTTTTGTTAAATAAAAATCTTTATTGAATATTGAATTTATATATATTTATATACAAAGTATTTTTGAAAAGATAATGATAAAATATTAAACGAAATCGGTTACTATGGTAACTTGTATTTTGTAATTTTAAAATAAGAAATAACAAAGTAAATAAGTTAATAAGCATGGCATATTTTTTTGTAATGTTGTGTTTAAGTAAATTACAACCGATTGGTAGTTATTGATTAATTGTAGCTTGTCAGTGCAGTTTGTCCATTCTAATATATATATATATATATATATATATATATATATATATATATATATATATATATATATATATATATATATATATATATATATAAAGAGAAAAATGAAGTTGATTTCTGACAGAAACGTTTGATCTGAATAATTCGATGTAAGAGGTTTTTATACAATAGAAATATCAATGATTGAGATCATGAGTCAAATGAATCTAGATCACCATGGAAAACCTGGAAGCACTGGATGGCCGTTTCGTCCTATTGTGGGACTCCTCAGCAATGCGCACCCAAGATCCCGCCTTGCGAAATTCGAACACAGGACCTATCAGTCTCGCGCACGAGTGCTTAACTTCTAGACCATTGAGCTGGCCAGCATCCAACGGTGTTAATGTCTAACTTCAACTAATCCACGAAATTGAGCGACAAATTCACCATTATCATCAGTGAGTTACCATCTCATTACAGACCCGGTTGAACTCTACTAGTCACTGCTTCTCACCAGAACTCCAGGAAATATCTCTTGAAGCCAGTCATTAATGAGCATATGTTGGTTCATAATACAAGGGTTTTGTAAATATTATAGTAATTTGAATGGTTGAGATCATGAGTCAATTAAAACTAGACTACCAGGTTTTCCATGATGGTCTAGCTTCAATTGACTCATGATCTCAACCATTCAAATTACTATAATATCCACAAAACCCTTCTTATATGAAACAATAGAAATAATTAAAAAATATAAGGTGGAATATGGTCCTGTAACATCGTGAATTAGCTGAAGTTGGATATGTACCTTATTGGGTGTTGGTCTAGAGGTTACGCGTTTGTATACAAAGATAAAGTTCTTCGGTTCGATCTCCTAAGTGAACGTACGGGTCGAACCTATCATTGAGGAGTCTCATATTGGGATGAGACAGATTTCCAGTGCTTTGTGACTAACCACAGGGGTCTAACTGAGGTTAATTCGAGATTTAAGCTATGACAATTTTATAGTCTCCATAAACTCCGTATATTTGAAGAAAAGTGGTTAATTTTGTGTGCTACAACTTAGAATAGTTAAGCGAAGAGACTTTTCGACCCCATTATTACTGAACACTTGACAGTTCAATACATAAACATATCACCAACTTTCTGAATGTTGCCTGAATTGTCAGAATTATCTTTCAAAATAATTTAAGCAGTTAAACGAATTGAAACGGATGGAGCATGAGTAAGAAACGTGTACATTACAAACACTATGGTGAAATAACAGTTTACAAATGAACTCTATATGTCACGTTCAGTCATTCATTTGTTTCTTGAGACAACTACCCGTGCTTGATTGATTTTTCCCCATATTTCGCTTTTTAATTCACAGTTTCCTTGTTATTACAATATCAAAATGTATCGTAATTACCATTCAGTTTTATAGATTTCATGATGGACTACTCGTACTTCGATCCAATTTAGGGTTGTGGATGAATACTGTCATTGAGGAGTTGCTTGCAAGAATCAACATATACACATAAGCACCTTTACAAAAGATAGGATGAGAAAGACAAGTATCATAAAAATTTGAAAAGATTGTTATTGGAAATAATAGGAACAAAACGATTTATCCTGATAAACAACAATGACATATGATTATCATGTACTTAATAATGATTAACTCTGAGAATTAATTCTCGGAGTTTAAGTGTGAAGCAATGACCAGTAGTGCTCAGTTATATTACGAGTGAGATAATAGGCGATTGTTGCTCGATATCACAAGTTGATTAAAGTAATGAAATATAAAGTATTAGATGCTACATCACTACTTTGAATGTTAATTGATAGTTTAAAGACCTGAAAGTTCAGGATTTGATTCCCAATAAGATCATAGGAATGTGACATCAATCAGTAAATTCCATATTAAAATAAAATAACTATCCAGTCCTACCTTGTTTTCAATAGTTTTCCAGGTAAATTCAGTCTATTATGTAGAACATTAAATTATATTTCTAAATCATTTGAAATCTACTTAACTGTGGAACCTGATTTACCTAAAACATGAATGAAAATTCAATTTCTAATTTTATTACTATCTAAACAACAAAATTTCAAAACACTTTAACTATGATCTATACAGAAAAGAAAAAAAAAACTTGGTATAAATCAGTTCATTTATCCTAACAGAAAATCAAAAGTCTTTGTATATAATATATAATCCCAATATGATTTTAAACATGTGTCTGTATCCATATAGATATACATTCTGTTTAACTTTTAAATCCAAAAAATACTGTCATATTGTTTATGTTTACCTCCTATACCCCTCCCCATCCGGTCACTTAGTCTAATGCATAAATAATAGTAGTTAAATGAGAATTGTTATTAAAAGAAAATCTAACTTTAAATACTATTCACTATCAATCCTTATTAAAAACAAATTCTGTAATAAAGATAAGATAATGAAACGAGAAAGGAAAAGATTACTGAAAGAGAGATAGATTAAAAGAACATTTAAACAAAATGTTGAAGACAAATGTTACGTGAATATAGAAAAAAAAATATAGAAAACGTGGATAAATCCAGTTATTTTTTTTTTTAATATAATGCCATCAATGGTGTTGATTTGTTAGTTTTACCAGACTATACATTAATCGATATGACATTATAAATGTTCTGGTTTCAATTATACTGATCAATAATATAGTGTTTACTGATTACATATTTTTTGGTATTTATAAAATCACTGTTCAAATAAAAACAACCATTAGTTGGTTACTTACGCCTGTTACTTCTTGTGAAGAAGCATAGGCCTCTCACCAGCATTTTTCATCTAACCCTGTCCTGGGCAATCCTTTTCAACTCTTTCCAGTTGTTACTACTAAATGCAAAATTATAAGGAGGATGCTCACATATCTGTTATTTGAATGTTTCTTACTGGTTTTTAAGCTGTTTCTTATAAATTTAGACTAATTCTATATTAGAATTCAAATCAATGAAAAGGTTGTGAAGCATAAATAAGAGCACTAGACTGAAATTAATCTATATTCAGAAAATCGGGTATATTTATAAAGTTCTAGCTAACCTTAGTTCTTTAGTTACTTCTGAAAGTATATTAAATACTGTTATTATCCAATAGCAACATGATATATAACTCCTTCATTTTTCTAGATGTTTATAAGAAGCTTTCAATCAATGCTAACTAGATGAAACGTTTTCTACCTTTTTCTGGGCTTTAAGAGATTTCATCGAAAGATATTCGTGAATTCTCAAGAGATGTACAACATATTTAATTTTCCTGAATGAGTTCAGATCAAGATAATAAAAAAAATACGAGATAAAAATACTTTTAACTTGAATTTTTCTTGTCATGAACTGACTAATAGTGAATGACGGAACATCAAACACAAGTAAAAGTATATATATATATATATATATATATATATACATATATATAAAACTCCGCCTGGAGTCCCTTTCCGGGGGCTACTGCCGGTCCCAAGCCCGGATAAAGGAGGAGGGTTGGGCATGGGGTTAGCGACCCCATCCCATAGAAAACTAACTCGCTAAAAACACGCTAACCAGAAAAAAAATTATATATATATATATATATATATATATATATATATATATATATATATATGGTTATTTCGTACTACATTTTTATACTGTTAAAAACAATGAGCAAACTTGAATCTCTGTTATAAGCGCTCATAACTGACACAAGAAGACACCAACAAGAAGATGAAAACGAATCCAGAAGTAGGATTGATTTACTGTCCAAAAGGTTTGTTGACTTCTGTAACTAAATTATTTTATAAAGTTTATATATACTTGATCATTAGTTAACAAATATCACTTACAACTGAAATAATACAAAAGGAACAGTTTATATTCTACTAAAAGAAATTTATGATAGACTAATGCATAGAAAAGTGTATTAAATATCATACTGAAATATATAAATATTATCATTAGTGAGCATATGTTGATTCATAATACAAGGGTTTTGTAAATATTATAGTAATTTGAATGGTTGAGATCATGAGTCAATTGAACATTTTGTGGTCCGTGGATCTGACATCAATTGAATCGCATGAATGATCGTTGTCGAAATATATATGTCACCTATCCTCGTATGTATTCATCGACTTAATCCGCGTTAGTCAATAACGAAATTAAATAAGTCAAATAACGAGAATGGACCTTCGAATATATATATTTTTAATGTGAAGCGAATGAATTAGAGAGAAGAAAAAAGACGTTCGGTGCAGATGGCAGGTAAGCCAACTCCAATTTAACCAAGCGTTAATCAATATTTATAGTTACACAAAACTAAGTTACAGACATGTCATGAGTAATGGGATAAGAACTGTACACACCTAAGCCCTCATATAAAAACAGTCAAGATTGATAAGCGAATAATTGACAAGGTTAGAATGTGACTCATGTAGAATGAATAGATTGACCTTTGCGAAAGCAAGAATAAGGTATATGAGCATAGCATAATTAACGAAACTACAAACACATACATATGCGCCGCACAAGTCACTTGATTTATGTGAGGGCTGTGATACTGCCCGGGTGCCCAAACTGAAACAGGTGGTTTTCTTAGGGGGCCACACCTGGAGCTTTTGACCTGAAGGTCTAATCCACAAGGCAGTAGAGCAAAGTTCGGAGATGCAGTCCTATCGTAGCCGGTGACCAACATTTGGTTCATATGCCATTTGTTCCCTTCAGGATCCTGGAGCCCATGTGTACCATTGGTTTGGAATCAGAGTTTTCCAACTACCCTAGGTGGATCCTCCATATCCACCAACTCAGTTAAAACACCGAACATTCTCTTTTTGTCCTCTCAATTTCGTAAACAACATCCTGAATAGATATCCCATCAAAATTACACTGAATTAAAACTAATCTCATTCAATTACTTATTTTTATTATATAATAAGAGAAAGACAATTTCATAGATAGATAGATGTGTGGATAGATAGATAGATAGATGGATAGATAGATGGATAGATAGATGGATAGATAGATAGATAGATAGATAGATAGATAGATAGATGGATGGATAGATAGATGGATAGATAGATAGATAGATAGATAGATAGATAGATAGATAGATAGATAGATAGATAGATAGATAGATAGATAGATAGATAGATACAGGGTTTTATTTATCAACAATTAAGTCAAACCGGGTCATATATCGTATCCAAAAATTAATTGATTTTTCACATGACAAAAAATACACCTACAAATGGTTATATTTAGTATATGTTAGCGTATGTGCAAAGTATGTGCTTGCACATACAATAAATGAAAATGATTGGTTAAAAGTTAATTTTTGGGTAAGTTGATAATCAGGTGATTTAGCCAACTGTATCAGTAAAAGTATACTAATATGATTATTAAAATTATAATTAATATGAAAGATTAGAATACCGTTTTTTCGGATTTTCATTTGTTTTTCATTGAATCAAACTTAATCAATATATATAGAATGAATGAGTAAGTGAAGATTATTATTTTCCATTTGTATATTGTTATATATAATATTCTTTTCTAATGTGTATTCAGGGGGTATCTCTTAGCTACTTATAGTAAATACTGTATTATTTAGTGAAAAAACCATTAAACATGTATTTTGAGATGGTGGAGAATATTTGTAGCTCAAGTGGATGATTTTGATAGAATTTTGTTCTCTAAGCTAGATGGTTTGGTAGAGGACCTTTCATCTGAAGTTTGTGCTGATGATGTTGTTCAGAAGAACGATGAAAGCTCCATGACCAAACCATCCAGCTCAGAGAACAAAACTCCATCAAAACTAAACATGTATACTATAGAAGAATAAAACAACTCTAGTAATCTTTATCGAATGAATAGATTGTATTTGACAGTGAGATTTAAGTACACGTGTTTCGTCATACTCAGGACTTGTCAGTTGGATACAATTGCACCACAGTGTTGATGGGATAATTTTAATTCTTTTTAATAATTACATAAAATGTTATTATTAAAGTTGAAACTGTGGTTATTAATAAAGTTTAGGATAATTATTCTGTTCAAATTTGAAACTTGTCATTTAGGTTCACCTGTCTCATAACTAATGGTAATATTGAAGTGACCCGTTCAGGTTGTACATATATCAACAAACATTGATCAAAATTCATTTTTAGTTAACCATGGTATAATTCGAATTCATAGTCATAATAATACAAGGAAAATTGTACTGTTTTTCATCAACAGTAATACTGTCTGAAATGTTTGGAAGTGCACCATACTATCAAAAATCATATAAGATATGAATTGGTTAGTTGTATATTCTTAAAGATATATAATATTTGATATGTGAAATAAATAAATCACCATAATGTGGGAAAAACATATCCTACCAACTTTCCTCAATCTAGCGCATATGATTTCGAGTCACCTAGATTAGTTGACTAAATTCCAATTTAGTTGATAGGATTCGATTGGGGCTGGAAAGTTAGATAAATATGACATCGATCACTACTTGGTGATCAACCATTTGTACACTCCATAGCATATTTCTAGACATTGTACTGATGGTATACGTATCTCTTCATGAGTATCGATTACTTTTGATGGGCACCATTTAAATACGAAACAAGTGAACTGCATAGCATATTTTGTGTATAAACGACATTCTTATTTTCATAATAAATTACATAATCCTTAGGATAATAGCTTGTATGTGAAAATTAGAATGATTCAATTTTTTTTAATTAAACTACAAAATTCGACCAATACATTTTATCCTATAAGTCTGGTATTTGAATGCTTGACGCTGAATTTCTAAACTCTTCCTGCTCTCGAAGAAATTTTTTTGCGTTTGAGCGCTAAACAGAAGATAAAAAGGGGGAAGTATGAAAGGAATCTTTATTTTCAACGTTATTTAATCAAAGAAGACAGGGATATTTATGGGCTTGTATGTGACCATGATGTTAAATAAGCTTCTAGAAATGCGCCAAAATTGTTAACAAAACAGATATATGACACAAAATCTACTGTTTTTATGGAGCTCTCTGAGAAGCACACAATAAACTATAAGTGTATGAAGTATTTTAAGCTTTTAACCATCTTTTGAAGACTTTCCCAAAGTTTCCGGGGTCTCTTAACATACATAACTTATATTTCCTTCATGACGAGATAATATGGAGATGGATAAAACATCCAATGGAAAAAAATAATAGCAAGAGATGTATTCGAAAAAGACTTCACTAATTTTCTTTATCAGTTGTGTAAATAGTTCAAATATTCACTTTAGTGGTCATCAACTGATTAAGCACAGCTCGAGTATAATTTATTTTATCTCTATACTCAATGTGTGTAACATTCCTTACCTTGGCGGAAAATATCTATTTTCAAAACTTCTATGGGATACTGATAGTGGATTTTTGGGGCGAAATACACAACGATAGAAATGTAGTTCACAGTTAAACATCATACAAGAGAATTCTGAAAGGCAAGGATGTATTTCAGATAAACAACAGGTTATATGCATATTTCTTCAGATAGTGTATAACACGAAGTACGACGCAAATGAAAGATAGTCTCTGTTCGTTCAGCTCTGATCTATCCATATGGTCACAACATTCTCCTAAAATTTTCTAAAGAATAGATAGAATTTTAGTAGTAACAAAGTTCAGGACATGGATTTCGTTTAATGTGGGACTAATCAGCCGAGTGTATCTGCATCTCAGGATTTATGTTCACCCCAGGACTCAAACATGTGCTTCACATACGTTATCCACTGGGCTACTAAGTCCAAATAGCCAATGGCTTTTTCAGTGGGTATGATATTTGCATCATTATTAGTATAGATTCGAATAGTCCCGTTATTGATATTCTTGATTTCATTTGATTTGTATTAGTTGGCATAAATGCATCTTGAACAAGTTATTCCATTATAGCCATTTTATCAACATTTTTTATGGAATTGTGACTAATAGTGGAATTAAAGATTCCAAGATGAATATTAAAAGTCAGTTGACGAGTACCAGATAAGTTGAAATGCCTGACTTAGATTCCACTGATAACTAAATTTCATCTTTTATATAAAAAACATGTGACATAACTACTAGATCAAGGTACATATCCCAACTAAAATTCTAAAAAATTCAATTGAAAATATCTACAACGGCACCATACTCTTTTACAATATTCCTTCCTGATCTATGTTCTAAATACATGTACAAGTGTCATGTTATTTAGTTAGTTATTTAGGTACAAAGAAGTTAATTTTTTAAATTTCCCCATTAAAATCTCTTTATTACCAGACATATTATCATGTCTTACTTGAGAATACATTATTTCAACCCACTAATTCTTTTCTTCAATTGAATATTTCGGAAAAAAAAAAACTAAATTGAATAAAACATTATTAAAATATGTGTACTTTTAGTAAATCATAACGAAATAAAAAAAATAAGAACTGATCAATGACATTTTTTGTGTATTTTAAATTCCATGGAGAAATTCAATTTTCACAGTGAAAAAAAATTTTTTTTTTTTAAAAAAAGTGACAGAAAAGACATACCGGTGGAATGTACATTTCACAGTAACAACAAAAAAAAATCAAAATGAGGAGGAAAGAAAAAAAAAGGACGAAAGTTTTCAATCTTTATATATTTTATAAAGGTTAACTGATAGTGGTAAAAAAAATATCACACGAACACCAATCTTTATTTTATTTTAGATTTTTTTTGGAGGGGGGAGGGTACATATACGATCTAAAAAGTGAACAGTTTAGAAGCGTCAAATACCAGAGGTTACATATTTTTTGTTAATTTTACGTTGGATACAAAGAAAGTAAAATATAGTTTTGCTATACATTAATATTTAATAATTAAATAATCAATATGACATTTCATTTTGTATATGGAATGATCGAACCGAAAATTTTTTGTTCTATATAATTGTCTATATATTGATTAGTGATAAATGTCATGTTTGTTTAGTTTATCAGAATTGTTAGTATCTTATTTGTGATGAATGAATAATCATGTTAAATAATCAAGTTTATGGTAAAAACTGATTGGAAGAGAAATTATTATATGGAGAGTAGTGACTTTAAAGAGATAAGTTTCAACTTAAAAATGTGTTATAATCAACTATCTCATTCAATCGTTCTAACATATCCTAATGCTTGCTCAAAGTTGTCACGTGTAAGAGGCGTTATCGTTAAGAAACGGATAAAACTGTTTGTAGAATAAATGTGTATTCCGGTGTTCACACTGACTCACATATCGACATAATAACAGTGATCTATGTAATATGAGTAATTCACCCATTCATAACATCTCAATCACACTTACATCTTATTCACAATGCATCCGCGATCTACTGTGCCATCAAGATAAGTCTACTCAATTTATTAAACAATTGAGTATCAACTAATTAATAATAATACACAGTGATATTATTCATACATCCAACATTTCAGATCAGTGTTCATTTCAATCTCGAAATTATGATCAATTGGAGTGAACTCATTCGAGGATCATTTCTGTTTCGATTTTCAACTGAAAATGTCTTAATACATCAATCATAGATTTCATTATTCACCATGCGATTTTAAATGTTCTGAACAGTTGTTGAAGGAATTCTTCAGATTATCAATAATGATTCATTTGTTTATTTTATGGAAATTTCAGGAATATTCAAGTGAGTATTCATAGAATTAGAAGGAAGTAAACACATATTTTCTGTATTCAGTTGAGAAACTTAACTTCTCATGAGTAGCTTCTGATCAGTACTCAAAGTCAGTTAATATTAGTTGACATATCAACCATTACACGGTTGATGAAGTGGAATACGAGTTAAAGTGTGAGGTAAATTATACAAGCGAACTTATGTTGAAATAACTGAAACTTGGTCACAATAATCTATCTTCATTCTTGAATTCAATATATTTTCACAACACTTAAACACATTCATTATAGACAATAGAAACTCTATTCAATCATCATCATCATCATCATCATACTCTCCAGAGTAAACTCATAAACACACAATAATGCTATTACTCAACAATCTTTCTAACCAGAGTCAAATTATTCACTATCGAGTGTCATTCAAATTTTGACAAGTTCAAAACAGTCACTAAATGACAAATACAAATCAGTGAATTCTAATATAGAATCAATAATTCACTATGCATATTGTATTGATTGTATTGTATTGTATTATTAGATGAGTAATTAATTATTGAATGTCAGGTTTCATAGGTAGAATCACGGTTTTAGGTTACGATAAAGGAATGGTATATCTAAATAATATCTCCTAAATGTAAGACCTACTCCTAACCCTAATCCAAACTCCAAACTCAATTACAACATTACTATTAACCTTAAACCCTATTCCTAATCTTCACTCAATTACTAACCACGACCCCTACTCAATCGCGATCACTATTCAAAACTAAGCTTCTTGCTCTAATCTTCACTTCATTACATTGAAATATCACATTATTTCGTGTTTCTTTACACCTACGCAACATCATTCGATTCTCACATCCACAGGTGAATGTTCACCTCAATGTTCCAGCATCATTTAAATACCAGATAATATTTTCTTCAGAGTTCATCGGTGTGCGGTTCACAGTTAACATTCTTGTTTAACATGGTTCGTTAAATAGAAGGCATATAGTATAGGGATGAGTTCAAAATAAGAGTGAAACATGTCAAGACAGTTCTTTGTCGAACACAAGATAGCTTTTGTAAATGGTTAATTGTTAGAAAATATAACAATGCTATTACAAAGTGTAATTTGATTTCACCTATTAACAGAAACTATGAGAAGCTTACACAGTTCACTCTGACTATGAATTAAAAGACAATTAGCTTTGAAGTCATCTTTAAGGATAAAAATTGTCCATCTCCGGCTCTTCAAGCAATCTGAATAGATTTTGAATAGTCCCATATCATTCCTGATTAAAGCTAAGTATTTAGACTAAGGATTAAGGATTTAAGTTTGAGTATTTATTCACGAACTGATATTAACTATAATATAAAAGTGCTCCGTAACCATATATGGGAATGAATTTTATATAGAAATAGTAGGGGCACTATCTGATTAGTTCATCTATAAAACTAGTGTCACGAGGTTAATGTTTGTTTCATGATGAAGAGTTTAGGTTTTGTATTTAAGGATAGTGTTAACTTACCTGTTATACACAATCTAAGGAGACAGAATTAAATACTGGATATGCTGAACACTACTATTTATATTGTGCAGTTGCAGGAAGTGATTTTCTGTCGTCACTTTAACCATTCCAAGTAGTATATAAAAAATTTATCTACTGATTGTTATAAGTGATATTTGAAACATAACAGTTTCTTCGACTCTGATTGGCTCTTCTTTATTTGTGCTTTTACCCTATAAAAGTAATTCTAGATTGATATGCACCGCATGGGTTTGAAGTTACTAGAAATCCTTGAAGAGTCAAACCCTGGCCACATAGAATCATAGATAATGACGTGGCCACCTAGCTTCTGAGTAGTAGTAGTGACGCGGGTTTGGCCCTCCGATGAGGAGAAAAGTCTTAATTCAATTGTCGAACCAGTGATCAAATCGCTAACTATTCAGTAAACAAAAATTTAAAAAATACGACAATACCATCCTACATTCGCTAGACATTTTTTTCACATTATTAAAGAAATATAGTCAATCTATAACACTTGACTTTAAGGGTTCCCATAGTGAAAATTAAAACAACACATATAAGTGAACAATATTGTTATCAACTAGATCGTTATTGATCTCTGTCGTTTCTCAACAAATTCATTAAGGTGACCTAAGATTGTCATCAACTGAAGTGTTTTAAAGTTAAATGTAAATCTTAGTTATTTCACTAATGACTATTTTCATAAATCATTTCACTGTGATTACAACTAATTTCATATTTTGTGCTTGATATTATGTTTGAGTGATTGATTTTGAAAATAATAGCTGGAACTCTAAGTCAACCCGTCATGCAATTCAAAAGATTCAACTTATGACCTACTCGTAAGTGCTTCCTGTTAAAAAGTCTACTACGAATAGCGATGTCTGTGGTAGATATATACACTTGTGTAACCAACAACAAGAATGAAGAGACTAGCAAATTATTAGGAAGCTGTAGTTTATAAAACTCATGAATAGGCATCTAAATCATTGTTGTTTGTACATTTATCTGTCTGATTCAGACAACAACATTCAGTCAGAGATCTTGACTTGAACCATAATCGATTATCTCCAACATCATGTCTCATTTATAATTTTAACTAACCTTATGACCTTGAGATGGCAAATGACCCTTAACAAATGGTATCCATTGAGTCTCTCCAGTAATACTTACATTTCAATGGTACCGGATGTAAATCGAAACGAAAATTTCAACTAATATCAATTGAATCCTCCAAAACCAATTATGTATTTCATTTTGTTCTGTTAATAATTTACTGTAGCTAATTACTACTAATATAGAGAATGACCCAGTAATCGACAAGCGATAATGAATAGGACAATAACTTACTTAAATGAACGTTTTTACAGTAATTGATTGCGTTTTCCTGTTTCGTTTTCTTCATTTGCTATGTTTGCATTATGTTTCTCACCAAGAAAGAAATTTTTGAATGGAAAAATTGGTCATCATGATGTTTACTGATTTAAAGCAAATGTAAATAAGAAATTAGTGGAATTCCATGTAAACTTTACCCGTTTCCCTTTCAGATTATTAATAATACTACTTATTAATATTATTATTATTATTAATAGTAGTAGTAGTAGTCGATTTCTTGTGTGTATGACATACTCTTGATTCATCTAATATCCAAACAATCTGTGGAAACTGTTTTTGTAATTAAAAAAAACTGACTGATACATCTAGTTGGAGAATAAATGAAAATTAAGGAAGGATATGCTAACTACTATTATTCCAAACTATGCTATAATGCACATCTACAGACTGACATAGAATTGTAAACAAATGAATTCTTGTATAAACATAAAATTTCTGATTACAAAATGTTATGGAGATTGCTAAGTTTGAAGTCATGGAATGATCTTAGTTAAACAGCCACTGAAAGCTAGAAAAAATTGTAGAGTTGTTCCATCCCATTATAAGACTTCTCAGTAGTGCTCAGCTACCAACCTAATAGGAGTCGTAAATAGGAACTTCAGACATACAAACAGTCACATTGTTGAGGACTGCATACTTTCGTTTTATACCCATTCAACTCCGGAATATTATTTGGAAATCCTTTTCAATAGTGATTGGCTAGCTTTTATGATCCATAAATGTTTTCGATCAGTCTTACTTCCATAGTATCTCTTTTCACCAGCATATATATATATATATATATATATATATATATATATATATATATATATATATATATATATTATAAATTAAGGAATATCCCTGAGACCTGAAGGCTATGGGTTCCTTCTCTAGCCGGTTGGTGGATGCACACTGCCGAGGAGTCCTATGCCAGGACGAAACAGCTGTCAAATGCCTCCTAGTTTTCTATTGTTGTATAACTGAGGCGAGCTGATGATATAAACCCTAAAACGTTTTGTCAACATACCTATCTAGGATTTGTTTAATAATAAATAAAATCTTTACCTACAATCTGTATGGCATAGGATTGTTTCAAGTCACGTGTAATTAACGAATTGTTTGTTAAATGTTTTATTCCCCTCAAATCTATACCATACAGCATAGTACAAGTGTATATAGATTTGATTGACAACTGTTATTCATAATTTCATTTCACCCCGTTTTATTATTTTTCTGTACTTCTGATCAAGAGTAAATTTATTAATGA